TTTGATATCATTACTTTTTTAATCGGTTACGTAGTTTATAAAATATTATTATTTTAAAATATCACAAAAATTTTCTTTAACCTTTTATATCTTCTTTACTTTTTAATTGCGGCAAATAATATTTATATAGTTGAAATCAGCGTAAAAAGTACTATCGGTCTGCATTTTTAGTTTTTCTATAGCTGAACGGTTGGTTATCTTGATGTGTTCCGTAACTTTAAAAATCCGTTTAAAGACTTTAGTTGGTAAGCATTCATAACGATCATTCCTACAGCCCTTATGGCACTCCTTGGAAAAAGCAAATATTAATTCACACTTCTTTGAATAAAGAGTCACACAAAGTGAACTTACATATGTAAGTGTTGAGAAGGTCTCTGTTAGTACCAGCTAACCATTTCCAATGCGGTAGTTAAGTGGTCAGCTTAAATGTCCAAATGCTTCGCTAAAAGGCTCGCCACAATTATGTTTTTTTTTCCAATTTCTAGGAGAATACATATGTATGTACAAATGTACTTAAGTACATATGCATTAATGCATCCCTTGATGATGTGTGCATGTGTGTTCGTTCATACATACTAATCCCGGTAGCAATTAGTAGCTGAACTCAAATAGACACTAACGCACATGAGAATATGCTGGTTGCGAATATCCATAACGCTTTTCATATTTACTTTGTAATTACATATGTACATATGTGTCTATGTGTGTGTACTAAAATGGTTGTTAGCTCTAATTCAATCATTTTTCCTTTGGATGCTGAATATTAGATTGACCATTATTGGCATTTCCATCAACGCCTGTATTTGCCCATCCCTTTCATTTACTCATTCAGTTGTTATTTTTGCTGCGATTGATAATACTTTGTGAGTGAGAAGTGTGGCAAAGTCATTAATCTTTCATACATAAATTGATCATAAGGGTAACCAGAATTGTGTACGGAGGAGGTCAACGTGCTAATGCTGTGATTCGAAGGATTTGTTGAAGCACGTTTAGCGAAATGTGTAAGTGCTAGCCTCAATTATAATGAAATAGTTTTCAATGGGGATTAGTTTTTATTTTCTGCTGCGATAGAATAAATATTGTTAACCAGTGGCGACAGGGTGCTAATGGGCAAATATTAACTTCTTGAACAAGCAAATATTCCCAAAAAAGAAAAATTGCAAAAATTACCTAAGCATACCCTTCGACCATATATTTTGGACTGGCGTCCCAAATTAGAAAGTTGAAACACCCATCACCCTGGAAGTGAGCTCCGACACTGAAGAGCCCGGAGATAACGTAGATAGATTGTAGCAATCCTTTTTTTCGGCTTCTAATGGGCTACAGTCGAGAAGAGAATTTGTCCAATACTTCAAATTAAATAAAAATAGGTAGGGGTTATTATACTGTACGTTGAAGCTTCAAGGACTGCATCTAAAGCCGTCGTGTGATCTGTGAGAAATTCAGCAGTCGCCGAATTTGATGCTGAGGGATGCAAAAAGGGAAAAGTAGCGGGTTTGCTCTTATGTTCTTTCGGAAAATTACAGTGGCAAGCGCGGCGAGGCAGATGTCGGAACTCGGAAGCTCACCTCCATATTTGTAAGTTTCGTATCGACTGAAACGGTTTCCAGCGTCGCCGTACGATTAAATTAAGGTGGGACAAGCCCTTCAAAGGTTTCTGGTGTAGAATAAAAATTTGTCTGTGGCGCAGGCAAAAAAAAAAAACATCAACCAACAACTTTAGGACAATTGATTGGTGAAAACGCACCGGGTTGCAGATACATTCTCCTTGACATAGCTCGCAGGCACGAGACAACTTCTGCCTCTGAGCTATTACGAACTGGCCCGTTTGTGCCTAGCTCGTCAGTCTTTTACTTACTCTGACAGCTGCTGTGCTTTGGTCCCAGATCAGTGCAACGATAAGCCTATCAGTTATTATGCTGGATATATACATAGCCAAGTGCTCTAATCGCCGCCTAGGTATACGAGAAAATAACAGCTCTCGCCTCGGTTCATCCGGAGACTAAAATTATTTGGCACGCCCCTTTGTTAGTAAATACTGACCATTGCACTCTACCTAACAAGTGCTGCCTATCTCTCAATCAATCACAGACATTGATTCACCACACCTGCTGGCTCATTGAAAGTAAAACGCAATGAGAGAAGGCAGACAACAGAGGTTAGATTATATTAAGGATGGCTTAAAAATTTGTTGAGGCACCGAAAATATTGCAATTAAGTATGTTGTACTTAGAAACGTGTTTTACAAGATTTTTTCGCTGTAAAATATTATAGTCTAAACAACTTTCTATCTCATTGTCCTTACCATAAAATCACAATCCGACCTTTATTTATATATTCGCTATTAAATTCCCTTTAAGCTTTAAATAAAATTCCCTCTATGTTACTCAATGACTTGTGGATTCGTTGAACCATTTCAATTTTTCAAACCACTAAGGATTCAATTCATTTATTTAAACGTTTATTTTGTCTGGAAATCTGGTCACGTGTGCGCTTCTCCACCAAAAAAAAAAAA